GTGGAGTTTAATAATAGCAGATATTGAGTAAGCATTGATTTAGCTATTTTTACATCACGACAAGTCTGTAAGACTGTTTTATATCAAGGTTTTTCAGGTTTCTAGGTTACAAAGGAACATTGTCTTATTGGTATTTGAGTTTGAAGCAAGCAACACTGAAGTAAAGTCATTGGTACAGTATGCTGATAAACAATGGTTATAAACAGTTTATGTACAGTAACATAGACGTTTTTTACCTCAAACTTACCAAAAGTTACTATCCACAAATAGATAAACAAAGGTATTGGCCATAATTTAAAGAACCTCTTCTGATTCTTTCCGGAAAAAGTTATCTCATGTGATTATTGGATAAATTACTGTCCCAGTGTTTTTTTTTCAGAGCCTGGCAGTGATGAGTTCCGAATGTTTGTTGTGTGACTTAGAAACAGGACTAAGATGGTGTCTGACAAAAAATGTCTTACTTTTTAGGACTATTCCAATCTTTACCTTTCACAAAATCAAGGATTTTTTGTGTCTAACCAAACCTCTTCATACCAAATACTTTAAGTAGCCTCAAATTAACGACAGATTAACCATAGAGTTGGCAAATAGAAAAACGATTCAATTCAAGATTCAAGGATTTATTGTCATTTGCACATTAGCTAGAGTGTAGATATTGCAATGAAAAACTTAAGTCACAGGCTCCTCCAGTGCAACATGAATATAGGACATAAAACAAATTAAACTAGTAAAACACATGAAAGATCATAGAAAATGTTTGTAGTGCTCATTATTGTTTGACACGTAGATTTGAAAAAGGATTCAGATTATTTTCGTATGCAACAGTAACAATACAATAATACAGTAAACCATTTCATGTGAAAATCCTGCATTTAGAGTTTTATAAATGTGAAACTTAACATGGATTTGTATGTTTTTGGAACTCTCAAGAATAATAAAATGTGCCTGGTTTTGATTTAGTTAAAGATGATGCTCTCTTCAAACAAAACATTGATTATGTTTAAATGACTAAATGGTAGACAGGCAAAAGCAATCTGACCCAGGCTTACTGCAGTGACTAATTATGCGGTTGTGTGTGATATAGGTTTTTGTGCATGTAAACCCCCCCCCCCAACTGAAACGCCTCCATTGGACTCCTTTGTTTAATTCTGTAACATAGTGACATCAATACTTGCACTTCTATTGGCTAGCGCTCCGACTCGTACGTGATAGGCTAAGCTAACCAAGCAGAGCAGACTTGGCTCTGGTTTCAGGCAGAGGGTGAAAAGAGGTGCTGCAGCACAGGCAGTATGAGAAAAATAAAGAGCTTTTGGAACATTGAAGCATGGAGACATGTCACAGTTGAGGCACAAAATACTAATATGAACCTGAAAATAGCAGAATAGGTTCGCTTTAATTGTTGTTATCCTAATGGGATATTTGTCAAAGCATGGATTGAACATAAACCATAACACAAGATATGAAGACAGTATTTGTAAAAAAAACAACTAAATGTTGTATTCCCTTCCTCCAGGTCTGTATCCAGGTCATGTAGTCATATCAAGGCTGGGCAGTGTGGTGACATTCAGCTCTTCACGCCTCTTTTTAACCAGCTATCAGGGTAAGTAGCTGCAGCCTGGGCCTGCGGGCCCCTGGGCCTCCTGAGGCTGTCTGGTGTCTCCGCCCAGAATCCGGCAGCGTCTCGGTCAGGGCCCGGAGAGCCTGCACACAACCAGTCATGCCATTAAGCATCTGTGCACTCTGGGAACCCATGCCAAGCAGAGAACCTGTTTTCTGATGGAAGATGTGAACAACTCTACATCGTGCTCAGGACTCTAGTCCATTCTCTGCCTTTCCTGCCATATGTCGCCCAAAAAGAGGAAAGCCCATTTAAATATACCGAAAATTAGGTTCTGCTTCATCTCTATCGAGCATGTTTGTGTCCTTGTATACTATCTACCACCTGCAGCTGAGCTTAGCATGGCTCTATCGTCACGTCCGAGTGTACACAGAGCTGACTTACGATCTGTTTCTGATAAACCTCCGTCTTTGTCAAACACGCATCCTGTTGGCAGACACAAGCCGGTGTTATCCTGTAACACACACAACTGCACACCAGAGCTGGAAACATGTTTGCAATCCAAATCCATTAGCTAAACTGTCACAGTGATCGGAGGCCTCTGCGTTTCTGGGCGGACAGTTACCGGGGCTACAGAAAAGTTTCAGGGAATATATATTTATATATATAGAACTGTAGTGCAGAGGCCCTGTTGCTCACAGAGTCCTTCAACAAGACATCTCAAACTGCTACGTTTAGTTATAAAACCCCAGCTAAAATCTTGCCTTGGGCAGCAAATTGGTCAGGGCCGGCACGAGTACATTTAGTACGAGTACGGTATTAACTACAATTTCGAGGTTCTTGTACTTTCCTTGAGTATTTTTAATTCATGCTACTTTATATTTTAACTCACAATCCAATATTGCAGTTTTATTCCTCTACATTTATCTGAAAGCTTTAGTTAATAGTGACTTTACACATACAGATTATTACCTTAAACTAAATATAAATCGACTAATACATAAACATTTCCATATAATTATAAATGACAAAGCTCCACGTATACCAGACGTGATGAACACATCAATGCATAAGTAATCATACTGCCATAATTTAATAAATATGATGGGCCATATACACAAGTTATTGAGCCGTTTCCGCTCTACATCCTGAACTCCACCCTTCGATGCAATGCACTTCCGTTTTGGCGGACTGGGTTTGTTTTGCTAGCTAGCTCCGTTGTGCCGACAAAGCACTGATATCGCAGAGACAAAGAGGATATAACAATTACAACATGAAGAAAAGTGGTTCGGGAACTACGTGTGCGGTAGTTGGTTGCAATCACTCGAGAAAGCACCTGAACGAGTGGTTAGATAGAGAGTGCTACGACCACAAACCAGCTACGAAGAGGCAATGTCCATGCGCTCCATTGTTGACATTTTTTCGCAAGCCTGATACCGACTCGGAATCAAGGACCTGGCTGAAGGCATTGAATTTAAAGAAACCACCCCGCAACGTTTTTGTTTGTTCCTATCACTTTGTTGACCAAAAACCAACCAAGGATAATCCTTTCCCAGCGTTGTGGTTGGGGTACAATCGCCCTCCCCAGCCAAAGAGACGTCAACTCACCCAGCGGACCACTGCCTCCCCCCAGATAAAGAAACGCAGACTTGAAGCTGAGGGTAAGTTCAGCAACTTTAGCTATGAAGCTGACAATACTGTTAATTATGAATAAGTTGTCATACACTAACATTGCTACCGGTATTTTGCTAAGGCAGTTGATTGTTTTGGAGATGGGACAAACAATGCCCAGGACGGCTACTTCATTAATGTGTGTGGTGTGTGTGTGTGGTTGTGTGTGTGTGTGTTGTGTGTGTGTGTGTGTGTGTGTGTGTGTGTGTGTGTGTGTGTGTTGTGGTGTGTGTGTGTGTGTGTGTGTGTGTGTGTGTGTGTATGTTGGTGTGTGTGTGTGTGTGTGTGTGAGTTAGATATGATTAGTAGATAGCATAGATACTTTATATGATACCCAAATACCTGCCTGACGAAACTGATAGATGATGCTAGATCAGATAGATGTACGGATACCGTCCATCACTTCCATAAATGCCACACAGAAACCTGTCAGTCCATCGCCAGTAGACTGCAGCCTGGACACCACACCATGCGATGCACTAACCCAATGGCGAGGATCTCATCACAATATTGACCCATGCTCCTACTGTATATGCTAACTGAAACCCTGTCAGCTGTGCTGTGGAGAGCCTGGAGCGCTGCTACAACAACATATCAAAGATACCAGTACACAATAGGGAAGGATACGTAAAATATTGACCGACCACATACTAAGATACTTGCATTGATCCACCAATCAGCACGTCTGCTAAATAGAGCTAGGCCTCACAGTGCGTGGCAGAAAATGGGTCCTACTGTTGACTAGCACCTCCGGTCATTGATGATGCATAGGTCGGCCGGGCTGTCATACAGGAGTGGCGTATGCTTGCAACTTGTTCAGCCCCTGGTGACGGCTGCTCTCACACACGACTCGAGCCCTCGCACACACAACTTCACACTGGATGCCCACAGACCAAACAAATGGAGGACTCTATGCACCCACCCATACTCACTCATCCAACGACACAGTCTGTTAAAACATAGTACAAGGCCACACAGTGCGGAGGCAAAATGCGGTCCTTACTGTTGACTAGCACCACGCTGTCACCATGAATGACTCGATAACACAAACACACGTACACCGGCTCTGTATACAGGATGGGCGTCAATGGTTCCAATTTATTCACACCTCAGCCGTGACGGTGTGTTCCTTCCAGTACGCCACAATCAATACCCTTCTGTTGCTTGACCATCCTGCCATGCCTTCGAGCTCGAAGCTAAACACTAACACCAATCAAAATTCTTAAGGCTAAGATATTGCCTCACGCTGACTCAGAATGCTGTACGAATACAATCACATGGGCCGCATTGTGATTGAGTCACTGGATTGACCGTGATGGGTGAACAGTTCAAGAGTCCTGATCGCCCTGGCTTCCCAAGAGGATACAATTCGTGCCACCATGCCCTTGTCGTTTCAGGAGGAACTACCCTCGAACACCCTGCATCATTGTACTGTCTGCCGAAAGTTGCTGCCAGAGTACGCCACAAACCCCGACTCAAGGGAGTGACACTTTCAGCCAGTACAAATCACGCAACACTGTGAAATATCTTTGTCACTGTGGCCCTAATGGGGCTTTAATCATGTTTATTCTGACGCCCATTGCTGGTCAGGAGGCAGCGAAAGTTTATCCCATGGACAGTGGGTTCTAGACTATTCCTGAGGCGTGGTTGGATTGACCGGTCGCTGGGTGGACGTGGGCTGTCGACCGATTAGAGACTTGGCTTGTGATGAGAGAAGCGGTCAGTTTGAACCACCTGCTTTTCACCCTACAGCGCATCCTGGCAATTTGACACATATGAGTGAGACAGACATCGCAGGCATGAAAACATACGAAAAAGATCTATACAGCGAAAAGTACGCCAACATGATACCCGAAAACATCCCACAAGTGTGAAACGGAGAGCAAAGAGTCCAGAAGACTGACAGACGTCCTCTCTACAGAAATTAATAATCACCGAACCCTGTTTCCCATACAAACGCATAATAGGCCCGAAACTGACAAACATTCTACTAAACGGAATCTAGTGCAGGCCTAGTTAACCTGGAACGCTCCACTGAATCATGAGCTGCCCTACGTGAAAACAGGTTAGACTGCTTAGCCTCTGTGATTACCTTGTCTACCCTGAAACACCCCACCCTGTAGTTTTCATTAACTCATAACATACAGAATACCAAATAAAAACAACAATATACTTGCACTGACATTGAGTCCTATTTATA